CTTGTCATTAATCCCTTAACAATAAAGCATAACAACTATTTATATAGCATTTGTATTGTATTAGGGTGCTATATGTAATCTCAAGATGATTTAAAATATAGAGAAGAATGCACAAAGGTTATATGCAGAAACTATGCCATTTTATATAAGCAAACTAATCATCCTTAGGTTTTAGTGTCAGAGCAGAGTGGGGCTGAAACTAATCCTACATTGCTACTGAAGGTTGAGTATATATTTCTAAACTTTTTTGAATACTGAAGTTCAAAGTTCTCTATAGCTATGAGAACATGATTGTTAACTAGTTAGTTCTAATAGGGTTGTAAATACAGTCAGGAGAAAAATGTTTATTAAAGAGGTATTTGCATTTTCTCATGTGTTTAGTATATATATCTCTTTGCATTTCAGAGCTCTTGGATCTGAACAGAACATCAATATTTCATAGCCCTTTTGGATTTCTTGATCTCCATACAATGCTGCTGGATGAATATCAAGAACGACTCTTTGTGGGAGGCAGGGACCTTGTGTATTCCCTCAGCTTGGAACGAATCAGTGATGGCTATAGAGAGGTATTGAAACATCAAACTATTTTAGAAGGAAAATAAAAGGGGGGAATTGCAAGGATATCACTTGACTTGTTTTTTTTTTCCATCATTTTGATCACTTTAAATTTTTGAATGATTACTTTATTGAAATAAAATTTAGAAGAAATGAAATCATTTTGTGAAACGTTTATAAATCATGTCTGAACTATTCTAGCACACCACTGATAATGCAGATTTAGAGACTTTTGCTTGGTGATGTGACATTCCTCATGCATGATGGCTCTTGTCACCACACCCACTGTCCTGAGAACTGAGTCAGAGCATGCTGAATTACTAGCAGTTCCTCTGGCCTTTATTGCTCTAATATTTAAGCTTGAATAAATATGGATATATGACATCAGTATATGATGTTATATTGATACTGTCCATTGGTAACACCACTAATTCAGATGGTTGCTCCTTAAACCTGGTGGAATAAGGTATAACACTAAAATAAGTAAGGGCCCAACATTTTGCACAAGGTTAACTGTAAAAAGAAGAAAAACTGTTAACTAAACTGTACAATTAATTACACAGGGTTGAATTGGGTTAAAGTTTTTGGCCTCATATCAATTTTACATGAAACACGAAGAAATATATTTTTTGGCATAAATGTATATATGATATAATCTACTTTCTTTATAATTTATTTTTATATTCATGGAAATGGGCCATGTTCATGTTTTCTAAAGTCTTCTTTAGAAATAAAATATGACAAAAAGCATCATCCCTTAATCCTTGCCAGTTTTTAATCCATTTTTTTTTCTGGTTGTTACATCTATATTTCTATATACCATTCATGCATTAGGAGTTGGGACATAACTTGGTCATGGAGAGTGTGCTTAGCATGTTGAGGCTCAGGGTTCAATCCCAGTACCACACCACCACCTTAGAAGCCAACATCTGTATACTCTTCCTGATTTACATTGTTGGTTTTAGACAATATATGTTAACCTTAGGGAGGATGAGGAGTTTAGTTTTCGGTTGCAATAGCACAGTTCAAATATCTGTACCATATTTCACCAGCAATTCTCCAGTTACCTGCCCTCCATCTTCCCAATATATTATAACTCAAGTTTTGGTTAAATCTTATCTTTACACTACTATAAAATAGGGAAATAAAATTCACATCTTTCCTTTCTTAGCCTCCAGCCCTTTCTTCTTTCTGCAGTCTGTTTCTCCTAAAATTAAACATTATTACTTTTTAAAATCGGCTTAAATATTTATGAGTTTTACTATTTTTTCAACAGCTTCTCTACTGAAATTTTTACACTTTATTAAAAAATGAGTCTTACC